AACTTCACTTCTTTGCGGGTAAGTGAAGTAAGCGGTACTGCAATCTTTGAGAAATCCTGTATGAATCGACGATAGTAACCCGCTAAACCAAGAAAACTACGAACTTCAGAAGCATTCTTGGGTTGCTCCCACTTCTGTATAGCTTCAATCTTGGATGGTTCCACAGAAATGTCATCGCCAGAAATCACATACCCCAAAAATTGCACCTGACGAAGCCAAAATTCACATTTTGAGAATTTAGCATATAACGTTTCCTTCCGCAATAGTTCCAACATTTCTCGAAGATGTGTAGCATGTTCAACCTCAGACTTAGAATATACTAGAATGTCATCGATGAAAACGATAACAGACTTATCAAGCATAGGACGACACATTCGATTCATCATATCTATAAAGGCTGCAGGGGCATTAGTCAATCCAAATGGCATAACAAGAAATTCATAATGTCCGTATCGGGTACGAAAAGCTGTCTTTGGTACATCCTCTTCACGTACCTTGAGTTGATGATAACCTGACCTCAAATCAGTCTTTGAAAAATAACTTACGCCTTGCAATTGATCAAACAAGTCATCTATACGCGGTAATGGATATTTGTTCTTTATCGTTACCTTGTTCAATTTGCGAAATCGATGCACATACGAAAAGATCCATCTTTCTTCTTCACGAACAATACCGGAGCACCCCAAGGGGAAGTGCTCGGTCTAATAAAGCCCTTATCTAGCAATTCTTGCAACTGACTCATCATCTCTTTCATCTCGGTTGGTGCAAGGCTATAAGGTGCCTTTGCAATAGGTGCAACACCCGGCACTAAATCAATACGGAATTCTACTTGCCTATCCGGCGGTACCCCAGGCAAGTCGTTAGGGAAAACATCTTGAAATTCACACACAATTGGTACATCTTTTACAATTTTCTTCATTTCTTTGGTTGCATCCAAAAATATGCCATGAAAGAAGAGAAACCCTTAGCAATATAACGTCGTGCTTTAAGCATAGATATTACCTTCAAGTCGCCTATACGTCTTTCCCCATAAATGTATAAGTAGTCTCCATTCTCAATTGGTACCCGAATCATCCTCTCAAAACAAATGATATCCGCACGGTTCTTCACTAACCAATCCATACCAATCACGACATCGAAACCATGGATATCCATAGGAATCAAATCTACAAAAAATTCATGTTCGTCTAACACTAAAGTGCAGTCTCTAAACACTCTATCAGCTATCAAAGTGACTCCATTACCAGTATCAACGGTAAATGGTATAGAAAGCATAACTGGCACATATTCTAGATAACGAACATAGACATGCGACACAAAAAAATTTGTAGCTCCAGAATCGAACAAGATACAAGTAGGTCTAGAGTTAACAAAGAAAATACCAGTAATGACGTCTGCCTCATTGCGAGCCTCCTCCGCGGTAATCTGAAAAGCTCGAGCTTGTGCTTTGGGTACCTCCTCCTTTTGACTTGAAGCACCACCCACCGGCGGTTGCTGCATTGACGCCTTACTTTCTTCCCGCCTCATACGGGGGCATTCAAATTGTCGGTGCCCAAAAACTCCATAAGAATAACATGCTCGATTTTTTTTTGGGCAGTTTACACGAACGTGACCCATTTCCCCACAACAAAAACATTTCAAGTTTGTTGTTTCAGTAAGGCATCGCCCTTGGTGAGTTTTGCCACATCTTTGACAAGGACGTGACGCATTAGATTGAAGTGAATAGACTTGTGATTGGGCACGCGGAATGTTTTGAGATTGACTCCTTCTAGGAGTGAAAGATCGAGATTGTCGTTGAGTAGGTACAGAGAAGGTTCTTTCAGTTTGTTGCCTTTTTGATTCAGAAGTTGGTTCCTCAATTTTTGTTAAATCATGTTCACGGCGACGAGCATACTCCACAACTTTACTGAAACTCGAAATATCACGATTAACAACAAACTCCCATATTTCTCTCCTCAGAACATCAACAAAATGCTCTATTCGATCATGTTCAGAAGATAAGAATCGTAAAGCAAAACGTGACTTACGATTAAATTGAGTCTCATACTCAATCACAGACATGTTCCCATGCTTGAGTTCCAAGAATTCTTTCTCAAGCCTTCGTTGCAAGTCGATCGGATAGAATTGCTCAAGGAAATGAGTGTTGAAAGACTCCCAGGTCAAGCTTTCTCGTTCATTTTCAGTCAGGGATTCAAAAGTTGCATCTCACCAAGTGAGTGCACGCTCTGTCAACATTGCACTAGCATAATTCTCTTTATCCTCATTCATTACTCGGGAAATTCGAAACACTTTTTCAGTGTTTTGAAGCCACTGCACCGCGATTACCGGGTTAGAGAGTCCAGTGAATTCAGTAGCACCACTACTTCGGAAGCTTTTAAACGAGACCCGTTCAGATTTGGGTTTTGAGAGACCACTCAGCTCTTTCTCTTTACCCTTTTCTATGTCATGCTTATGATGTTCAAAAGTTTGTTGAACGAAAGTCGTAAGTCGTTTCATTAAGCGTTCACTACGGGGAGACAACGGTGTAGCATCCTCATTCAGGTTGAGGTCGGGATCGTTTTCTCCAACATTAGGGTTTGTTGGAGTGTGACTAACAACATCATCATCAGCCATCGTCCTACAAGGTGCACACATGGTGAGAGTATTAAAATATAGAGTATTAAATAGTATCCCATTTATGGTCCCTTACCCAACCTTGGTCTTTCCTAATGGTCCATATCCCGTATAAATCATCGCCTAGTTACTATATAACATCAACGCCTAGTTTAAGTCTAGATACCATTATTGATACCTAGTTCACTTAAACTATTGCTCTGATACCATATTTGTAACACCACGAATACAAAACAAACACTTACCAACCTTCATTAAATATATTTTAGTTTCAAAAACCTCAAGATACGGGATAGCAATTTACAACCCAAAATACATAATTTTAAGACTTAATAAATACATAGCTAACAAAAACATAATCAGCTGGGACATGTCTACCCGGAATATACATACTATGAACAACCCAAAAGTATAACTTATACCTAAACTCAAAAGTAGGCTTTACACATCAGTCCCTAATCGATCATCCGACCTTGTTTTTGCCTTTGCCAATTTGCCCTGAAAAGTTAAAACCAYTAAAAGATAAGCTATATGGCTTAGTGAATTTATGTGGAAATATGTGGTTACAATGTGTTATATAAGCGTACATACTACGAAATAAAGAAGGTCTCGAAAGAAATTTTACATAACAACACGACAACAACTTAGTTGTACCACATGATGTCCTTTACAACAATCTACTTTGAACGTGGGAATCACAAAAGAATGTTCAACATAGAAAAAGAACATCAATATAATCAACATCATCCTCAAGATCAAGCAAGGTCACATACCAATTAACTTCACACACAAACATAAGACTTGGCACCAAATCYGCCYTTCTTCTTCCGRATTATGCCAAAGTCCTATACTCACCCCCTGGYTCCCACTGGGCAGTGAGTATGGCAGCCCCTCCGGTTGTCTCACCCGGACTCCATGGGATATCGACAATCGGCGCCCAAAACACACCACAAAACAATACAAGCAATAAGATCAATTCGAGGTGATAATCTAGAACTAACATGAATCATGGATAAACAATAAAACATCATAGCATATATAATCACAAAGTACACACATATATCCACATAAACTCACAATGTTGATTAATGAAATCAGTTGATCAAACCGGAAGCCAAACCGAAAGGTCGAATCCTAACTCCTGCTAAGTGGTTGGAAAGCACTTCCAAGGCCTTAAATTATGCTTAAATAACACCTGGAGTTCATATATAAAGTCTTATTAACAATGCACAACAATAACATAAAATTAACCCTTTTTAATTCAAGTTTTCCACTTTAGTTTTCTTCTTACA